AAATACCTGAAGCTGCAGAGCAGCGTCCGAGGCCTCGTAGACTCTTCGAGCGAGTCCACCATTCTGTTTGGCCATCGTGTCGAGAAAAGTGTAGTCCACATCATAGCCGAAGCCCAAACAAAAGAGGCTCATGCTTCCATTTATTGCATTTCTGACATTTTCTTGGATTTTGGACGTGCTGGTCACACCTAGTTTGATGGGCACAATGTGAAATCGAAACAATGGAAGCCTTCTACTCAACAGTTCATCCTCAAAATTCAAAGTGTTTCCTTAAAGGCAGTGAAGAAAAGATGTATTTGACAGCCCTGAAGAACATCTTGAACGTTTCCCAAATTATTAGTTTATTGATTTAATTATTTCAGCAATGAGAGACGGAATGACATTCAAAATCACAATAAAAAATTGAGAAGATTATTTGCAGAGTGAAAGGACAAGTAGTTCTACATTGAGAGCGAGAAGACCGCTGGAGAATCTGTGTTGAGCTCGCTGTATTTGATCCGTTTCTGTGGTTCAGATGCTTAGGTTCTCCGGTTGAAGGCAGACGAATGGTACTCTGGTTGGTTTATGGCACATTAATGATGGAGTGATGGATTTAACCATTGAGATGAATCTGGAAACTATGCTTCATAGTTTAGTACGGTCCCAAAACATCAAAATAATTAATGACCATCTTCAAACCCATAGCATTTCATATTAGTAATTGACTGATTATGTATTTGATTTAACATTTCCTAATCCATTACGTGCATGGCTTCACTAAAACACTGTGTTCTATTAAATGTCACTGTGTGGAAAGCCCTGAAAGCTTGTTTTTAACATTAAAGTTAACAAGTTTTGAAACATTATTTCACTTCAATGCTACAAATCAATAAAAAGTACATTACTGTAAAAAAACAAAACAATTATTACATACCAAAACTAGGCATGCCATCGGTGAGTAAGATGATCATGGATATGTCCAGGGCAGAGCGATTATTCTCTGGAGTAAGCATTTCCACGGCGAACAGAACAGCCTCGTTTATATTAGTCACTGATGGAAGAAAGGGAAAGTTTGGACGGATTAGATCTAGAGAAAAGCAACATCTGTGTCAGATCATTTATTGCTAAGCCCCGCCCCAGGAAGAAAAGTTAGCCAATCGTAGTTGAGTAACAGAACTCAGACATCCCGATGTTGTCCTTTTTCTGCTAGGAAAGAGATGCAGCTACAAGGTCCTTATACATGGGACCGATCCTTCCATCCGTCCGACCGACTTGTCTCTTAGTTCGCAACAGTTACTAAACAGGATGGAGCTTAGCAATAGATCAGTTCAAGGGTTTCTAGAAAATGTATCTACAAATATCATGAACTATGATTTGATCCCAAAACTCACTTGAACTTGCTTCAATACTTTTGACAAACTCTTTGGCTGCAGTTACATTCTCTGATGAAGCTTTGCTTAGAGATGGTCTCCACTCCTCTACATTATCATTAAACGTGACCAGTCCAAAGAAATCCTCTTCATGGAGCTCACTGAGGATTGTCAACAGAGCTTCTCGAGTCTAACAACAAACAGAACGCGAGAGTTCGTTGCTAAAACGGCAGGAAATAAAGGAGGAAAATGATTATTTTTTGGCAACTTGCTTGTTTCATCTTCTCCCCCATCATGGAACCGCTTCTGTCAATCACAAATACCACATTCTTTGGTATCTGTGGCAAACTATCCGGAGCGAAGAAGTGAACAAAGTAGCCGTTTACAATCTGAAATGGAGAAAGGTTTACTGTAATCGTCTGATTAGAAAAATGTGCACATTTTCAGGAAATACTGATTTTCTACCTGAAGTTCACCAAAAGTATTTGTGTGGTTCACATCGTACTTTATGAACAAATCTCCATCGAGTCGAGTTCCTCCACAGTCAGAGCATTTTTTCTGCTGATCACGTGATGGAGAGAAGCGCACTTGTGCCTGCAGAGGGTCAAAGAATTGGGACCAGTGTAATGTGTTGAGTTGCACTTAAATCTCGCTTGACGTTTTTTTGTCCTCGATATTAAATTAACGCTCTTATTATCCTCCCTTTTCTTGTTTGTTCTCCCATTTCCTCTTTTAATTCTCGCCTCTACTTTTCTTACAGAAACATTACCCATTATAGACTGGATTTAAGAAGATTTAACAGAAAACACTGCTTTATTTAACCAACAACATTGAGAACAAAAGAAGATCGGAGGAGGGGGAAGGGAAAGACCCCGTGAGAGCAGCTGCAAGCTGTGTCCCTCTCAGGGTACCACCCTGTGCATGCTTAGTTCAAGCAACTTGTAACTTCCTGTTGGAATCTAACTTCCTGTTCTATCTCAGAACACTAGGATTCAAAGCATTTTTGTGCATATGCAGTTTTTGGGTCATATATTGACTTTAAAGGGGATTCTAAATGTAGAATTTTCATTATATAGTGTAACATCAAAATGGAGACTTGTCCGGGTCAATATGCTTCCTTCAACAAAACCTCTTCCTTATGACGAAATCAAGGTGAATGATTAAATTTGCAGCATTTAAAAATCAGTAACAAACTGTGGCTGCAATCCGATGTAACTCTGAAACTAACCAGTTGGTATCAGTCAGAGGAAACAACCTTGTATCCCTCCGCCTGCTTGAAACAATGTTTTACCAGAAAAGTTCCCTGATGATTACACGAGATTGGGACAACACGTTTCTTTTCTGTTTTTGCAGCTCTACATGGGTTGAGGTTTATAAAATATGGTAGAAATATGGAAATTGTTTGGTCGCATTGAACTGAAATGCTACTGGTCTGATTGGATTCAATTATCTATGCTAAGCTAATGCTATATGCATTTTCAAAAAGGTCAGCCACTATTATTATTCTATGAATTTCTGTCATAGTGTTGTATGTCTGTATAGAACTTACTGGATTTCTAAAAGGCACCATCAATGAACTTTATTTCAACATCTATTTTTGACCAACCTCTTTATCCATGAGCGTTTTCTCCACAAGAGGCAGCAGCTGCTCATTACTGACGAACGTGCTGTTCACTTCCATAAATGCAATTCCGTTCGGTTCATAGATGTCCACCACAATCTGTGAAGGAGACACAGAGCTGGTTTTACTGAGCCGTGTGTTACAGTCTGGTTTCAACTGAAATGCTCAGCCGAGGATCAACCTGGAAATCCTGAACCAATTGTTTGGGTCGGACTCCGATCATGATCTCATAGCTGCCCAGGCGTCGCTGGAGCAGCTCTTCATAAGTGAGAGTGAACGTGACCGTGCTTCGAGCTGCAATGTTCACGGAGACTGAGAACTTCTCCATGTGCCTTCCTGAAGCTCTGGAATGCAAACACCGCTGCTATATTTGATCAGCCGTTCAGGATGTGAGAGGAACCTCTACTTACTTCACCAGGCCTGCGATCTGGCCAGAGGACACGGCGCTCTCGTACAGCTCCCTCGCCTGCTCTTTTTCCTTCACCTCGCTGACGTAAACCCTGTCCTCCACCTCTCTGAGGAACAAACAAAGACAGGGGTGGGTTTGGAAACATGATGCCATCACAGAACACTGGACTTAGACTGACTAACATGGTAAAATTGGTGATGAAGGCTGTTTTGGGCAGGTCCACCTCAAAGAACGCTTCCTGTGATGCATTAGCCGTGTTCAGGGCTCTGCTGGTCATGACGGTGTGAGCAAAACGGGACGCAACCTTGCAATCCACGTGCATTCTCTGTATCTCTATCTGAAAAAGACAGGCTCATTGTAAATAATGTTAATAATAATTTCTATAGTTAATATTTTACATAGAATTTAAATATCATTTCTACAGCCACACACAGTAATGCACATTTTAAAAAGAGTCAGGGCTTTAGTTTAGCATCTCTTTCTGGGTGTTTTCTGTTGCAACCCACTCTGTTTTGCACTAAACAAAGAGAGCTTTTGTAACTAGCCACTAGAACGAATGTGTTTCATTCCGGGGTATTCAACTAAAATTCAACTAAAGAGATCCTAAAGAGATTCATCCTTTGTTTGGAACCAAAAGGTCCAGAAGATTATACTATCTACCTTGATTATTAAGTAGCCTGCATGTAATCAACACTTGGAAGTTTATATTTACAATGTGATCAATTTGAGTAGGTTCTTAAATTACATTTAAATCAAATACAATGGAATAAAATGAAATAAAGTGCAACTTCAACATTTCACACATGTTCATTGCCAAACAAGTAAACAACAAATTAATTTTAATTGCGTTTAGCTCAAAGTTGAGTGGGAAACTTTTCTTTATGTGGCTATTTGGGGCTAAACTCCTGCCCTCATCTGCTTCTGATTGGTTGGATCGTGAGCTTCTTCCAATGAGACGAAACATTATTCAATGCAAGAGACTTGAGACCCTGCATGTATGGTCTGTCTCTCACTTTCTCCTCCGTCATCGGTATCTCTCCCATTTTTTTCACTAGCTACACGCGACTGTTATCACCATTTTTGTTTATTATTTCCTTTGTAACTGTTCTCTACAGCTTTTGTGAACTGTTCCAAGAAACTGAATCATTCATGAGCCAAAAAAAAACGGAACTGTGAATTTATGAAACTGAAAAAAAAAGAATTTGTTCGACTAAAGCACTCTTTTAAAGTTGAACCCTAAAACATGCAAACATCTCTGGCAGCAAATTAGGAAAAGGGGTTTGATGGCTACTACAATTCCTGCAAATAAAAGAGTTATTGTGCATTTAAACCATTTTTACGTCACCGTGAGGAAAATGCCACCTTTTCTTACAATGGTCAATAGAGTTTTCTTTGACTGCATCCAAAAGAGATAAACAAGCACAAAAAGCCACCAGACAGAACTTATTTTACATCTCGTGATGCACTACGTTAATAAAACGCAGTGTTTTTCAACCAGTGTGCGTGAGATATTCTCTGGTGTGTTGCAGGAAATAATCTAACTTCACTTAATTGGTCTAAATCAACATGGTCTTTTCACAATCTAAGGGGGGTAAAACGGGATAACTCTTAGAAGTACCTGTGACATTTCTGGGATTTGAACCCAAAACCTTTACATTAGTAGCACAATGCTCAACCAACTGAGCCACAGAGAAGGTGAGCTACAGGAACTTAGTGTAAAATGCCATGGAACCTCCATAATTTCAAACATCCTACCTCAATAACATCTCGATACACACAAAACATTTTTATCTGAACATTTGTCAAGAATGAAATCACTTTGATGCAAAAAGGTCTTTCATCCAGTGGTGCCACACAAGTTGTGACTAAACATCGTACACTTAAATGTATAAAAAGTGAACGCATACCTGTTTTGCAGGGTTGTGTTCATGATCGTTGATGCTCAAATTGGCCAGAGCTCTGGCAGCAAGAGAAATGAACACAGACAACCAAAGCAAGACTCTCACGGTTGCCATGATAAAACCTAGTCCTAGCTGAATTCAAACTGACTTCTTTTCCTAATGCTGATGCTCTTAAGTAAGAGAGAGCCACTGATGAATGCAGGCCTGTGTGTGTTGAACCAACATTAACAGAAAGAGTTGCCAAAAGGGTGTGTTGGTGTACCCACCAATCTAGTTCTTCAGAGCCTACCAACAAACACCACCCGAAGCAGTAAATTCATGACTAAGAACAGAATCATTCAGGGTCACCCAGAATTTTCTGGACTTAATGGGAACGGTTATTTTGTTTTATTCTTGTCTCACTGCATGAGTCAATGTCTAACATACGTGATAGTACAGGTGTAAGCAGACGTTTGGGCACCTCTGTAAATGCTCACGTTTTCCTTGATAAATTATTTCTTGTACATTTCAGTTAAATATATCAAATAGGAGGCAATCATAGAGATATTTGATTTGATAAGTGAAATAAATTTTTATGGAAAGTCTGCAAGAATTATTATTTTTTTTTATATTGCGTCCTTGTCATTTTATTGATTTCAATACCTTGTCACTAATTATTTGAACCCAATATTGGTTTGCTAACCTCAGGGACTCGACCTCCATACACAGGTGAATCTAATCATGCGAAGGTATTTAAAGGAGGTCTTTAAGAAGTGTTTCTCCTATATGAATCTTCTCTAAAGAGTGGGAACCTCAAAACAACGCTCAGATGAGCAGAAAACATTGGTTGTTGTGCATCATGGTTTAGGGGAAGGATACAGAAAGCTCCAGGGATTTAAGCTTTCAGTTTCAACTGTGAGGAACATTGTGAGGAGTTGGAAGACCAGAAGCACCGTTCTAGTTATGGCCCTGAGTGGCAGACCAGGAAGAATCTGAGATAAGCACAGACAACCCACAGACCAGCTACAAAGACCTACAGCATCATCTTGTTGCAGATGGTTAAATATTTTTAAAGGTTAGGGAATATCCTCAATATCAGCAGATTCTGGAGAACAAAGTCCAGAAATCAATGATAAAGTTGATGTTGCGCAAGACAAAGACTTTAAACACTGGTTAAAAATCCCAGACCTGAGTATTATTGAACATTTCCACCTTATTATTACAAATAGAATAATTGTGACTATACAAAGAGCCAAAGGGTGTACCCCTGCCTCTCGCCCAATGTGAGCTGGAGATAGGCACCGGCAGACCTCCAAGACACCAAAAGAGAATAAGCCTTGTGTCACAGTTTGCCTACATACCTCAAACTTTACTAGCAGTACCCCAAACAGACCAGCCTTCCATTTTAGAGTTTATTTTCAATGAATATTGCCAGCAAAAGTCAAATAATAATCATGAAAAAAAGATGAATGAATTTATAGCAGCTGGGCTTTAGTGTGTCATGTCTGCTCAACATCACTAGGGCGGAGGGTTTGTGTTTTGCTTGCCTCACCACTCCCCTCTTGGGTAGCTGAAGTCAGATTTGACGTCATTCCTCCAAAAAGTGCCCTCAGTGTATCCAAAGAGGTTACATAGTCCAACAAATAATTCATAAAGGCATATTTATTTGACCAATTTTTTAAGTAAAACTTCAACAACCACCAGTGAAACAAACAGCCTGAACCTGCTCATGCTGTGTTCTGAAAATAAACTACACTGAACAATTCACATTTGTTAAATCAACACGTACAAGTGCACAGTTAGTATATGATCCCTAAACGCTAGGGCAGTGTTTACGAAGATCCACACCATTGACACCAGTAGTGTTGATTTAACAGCTGTGTACAAACGACACAAGGTGTATGTTATGATTACCAAACTAAAATGCTTTTTATTATAGACATTTCTTCAAAATAACAAAAAAGACAAAACGGTTTCTCGACTATGCTTTCCTGCTGTTCCCCTCTGTCCCAGAATATTAACAGGGAGTTTAGCTGTACTCTCTGTGCTCTCTCCCTGGGATATTACTTTGATATGTTGTGTTTATATCATTGTATGTGTGCTGAACTCTCTTAAAATGCACCGTGCCTCTTTACTCATGATTAGATGGCTGAAATGTATTTGCTTGCGGGTGAGGGCAAGGGAATTGACCCAGATCATGTCGGAAGTTCATGAGTTGAGTTGTGTTTGAAGGAGTCTGAGAGGCCTGAGGGAAACCAGTTAATTCAAAACAGATGTGTAGTTGAGTGCTCCTCAAAGAACGGGAAGAAACGGAGAGATTGAGCCCCCTTAGAGGCATCATAGAATATATTTAATTTTATTTGCTATAAAGTACTGTTGCGTTGTGAGCAAGTCAATCAAGAAGTGTATATATGTTGTCAGAATATGTTTAAATGTCTTAATTAGCCTCATCATGTGTTTGTTTATGTAAAACCACATTTAGATCAACACTTAAACAAATCCATCGTGAATATACAATAATGGCGGTTAAAGGAGCGTTCCCGCTTTTAACACAAGATGGCAGTGATGTCACGTGGCAGGTCACGGGGTGACGTCCGTTGGATGTTGCCATAAGCTGAGATATACGCAAACAATTCACGTTTTTAAACCAGTTTTTTTTGCGCAATATTGGACTTTTAATTTTTTATTTCATATGTTTGTTAATTAATGCGGGTTAATTCTAAATTAATGGTAAAGTACATGGATGCTACCAAGAAAGCTAAAAGATGCAATGACTAGTATTTAGAGAGTTACTTAAATAAGTTTTATGTTTTTGTTATAATTTTAGTTTTATATACTTGCAGAACATTGGCATAATACATACATGTTATAAGTAATTAGCACAGCAATAAATAGTCCTTTGCAAAAAAAATAAACATATCACCACACATCTGACGATTATTCAAAATAATCGAATGTAGCAAAATAACAAAAAATAATGCACTTCGATATCTTTATCATTTAACATATGTGGGAGATAAACAAAAGCTTAACAGTACTAAATACAGCAGGTTAAATGGATCAGTAACAATATAATGTTCTGAGCCAAGCAAGAAACCATGAAAAGAAAAGGCCATGCACTTCTCATTTCATTGGCCTTTTGTGTCATTGTGTTAGCCTATGATCAAAGTCTGCTTCGAGATGCTGTATGGAGTATTTCATAAAATGTTATTTGATTTTGTGCAAAAACAAAGCTCAAAGAGTTTGGAATAATGTTAATGAATTAATTATGGTGACATGTTGCCTTAAGCAGTCAAAAAATATTTGTGTGGTTTGTACATATAGGCTTGGTTTTGTTATTTGATGCTATTATTATGATGCTATTAATAATTATTATCTATGTAAGTTCAATAAAAATGACTAACAGAAAAAAATCCAGATGAACTTAATATTACCTTAAAGTCTTATACTGGGCTTTTCTTACATTTTTCAGGGTGAAACAATATCACTCTGTATTAAAATTGTGTTAAACCTAAATGTGTAAAATTAAATTACAAATTTTATGGTAAATGGCTCTATTTTGACTATTTTATCTACATGGAATATGTAGATGTGTGTATTTTATGTAAAGAAATAGTTAAATCAGAAGGTTCTGCACTTTTCCTGTTCTTCTAGTCGGAGTGCATGAATTGTTGCGTCCTGTCTGTCGAGCGCGTCATGCTTGTCTGCTCATGTCCAGTGTAACAGGATCTGCTTCATTATCATTCACCCGGCTGAAGAACTGAATGTAATGAAAAATCCAAACACGGCGTGTCACTGAACATGACCTTTGACCCAGTTTCTCTTGAACTGCAACTAATGGCCTTGACCCCAAACCTTTAATGCTCCAAACTCCATGATAGACTTGGAAAGTTGCTCCATTGTGTCATTGCTGCTCTGATCTCTGCCGTGACCAAGGCTTATTCTCTGGCTTCAGGAGCTTCCTAACCATGTCGCTCTGCACAAACCGATACTGGTTGTGGATGTCTTCAGTAATGGCAGCTTTGAGCTGATTCAAGCTGGTCCTCATCTGACCACAAATTCTTCTAAGCTAACATAAATCAGCCTATGACCAGATCAACACCAATTTATGACCAATTTTAGCTAGCTAAAATTGGATGAAACATCTTAAACCAGTTAATGAGCAGCTCAACACCAGTCCATGACTAGCTAGGTTACCATTCAGGATTGATTAAACTAATGACCACTTTACACCAAACTTATACTAGCGAACATTTCATGAGCATCTTAAAACTAGCTGAGCCTACACTTTATGACCATCTGAAAGCAGCCGATGACCATCTGAAACCATCTCATGCCCATCTTACACCAGCTGATGACCATCTTAAACCCGACTGAAACCATTTTACCCCAGCTTTGTCCATCTTAAATAAGCTCATTAAACCGCCACATAAAGAACTCAGAGAAGTTCACGCCCTGGTTAGATAAGTAAATGGCTTGCTAAACCCTGCTCGTGATTAGCTAGGAGCCACCTTCAACCCTCTCATACCATCATCAGAGCTTCAAACCTCTTCTCACCATCAGACATACACTGTATTTCCCCTGCACTGTACCTCTGTCCCTGTGTGAATGCTTGACATTGCTGCTGCCCCTGGTGCGTGATACAACACTGAGCTCCCATTGTCTAGCACACGCGTGTGTGTGGGAGCACTGGTATGCGGGTGCTTGGCGTGTGTGTATGAGCGGGCATGCGTGTGGCCAGCGACGCCAGTCTGCCCGCCATGCCTGCCTGTCTGTCTGCCTGCCTGCAGTGTTTTCGTGTTTGGACACACCTG